TCTTTTCATCCTGAGAGTCTCTTTGATTCCCAGAACCCCAAGGACTACTCTGGATGTCAACCTTCTCTAATCAGCCTTAGTCATACTGATTCAGTGGCTTATGGACCTGACCAGTACAATTCATTGACTCCCCCATGCACAATCCAGGCTCCCACCCCAGTGAGATGAGGCAGAAGGCATCACATACCCCAAAATGGACTACAGCCATCCAGTACCATTTATGATGGAAAAAAGGAAGTCACTGTAATTCACACCTTTTTACTACTTCTTCTTCTTCTTCTTTTTTTTATAGAAAACTAATTCTTTATATCATATTTTGGAGTCTTCTTACCATTCTCATCTTATAATTTTCAACTTAATGTCCTTCCTAAAATGTAGTATCCTGAATTGGACACAATACTTTATTTATTTATTTTTATGCCTACTTCCTTTTTAAAAATTTTTTTTATTAATTTATTTTGATGTATCAGTAATCACTTCCATACTCTTTTGAGTTTAAAATTTTTCTCCCCCTTCCTCCCCACCATCCTCCCCAAGATGGCGCACAATCTGATATAGGCTATACATTTACGTTCCTATTAAACATATTTTCACATTAGTGATGTTGCAAGTAAAAATTAAAACCAATAGGTGGAACCATCAGAAAGAGGAAACAAAACTCAACGGAAGAGAAAAAAAATAGCAATTCAACTTCTGTAGTTCTTTTTTGGATGTGGATAGAATTTTCTATCACGAGACCCCTGGAGATGTTTTAGATTCTTGTATTCCTGGGAAGGGTTAAGTTTATCAATATTAGTCATCATACAATGTGGTTGTTATTGTGTACAACGTTCTCTTGGTTCTGCTCATTTCACTCAGCATCAGACCACACAAGGGGAAGTCAGCCTGTTCATCATTTCTTATAGCACAATAGTATTCCATTATATTCATATACCACAACTTGCTCAGCCATTCCGCAATTGATGGGCATCCTCTCAATTTCCAATTCTTACTTCTTTTTTTTTCACATTTTAATTTACTTTATTATTCAAAAAAACATATCCTTTTTATTTACTTTTTTGCCTCTGTGCTTGTGCCTTCAACACCTTCACAGCAATTTTCTGCTCCTCAATCAGGAAAGCACACTTGATCCTGCCATGGACACATTTTGCACACATGGAGCCGCCATAAGCCCTGCTGACATGACTTTTTGTCTTTGACAGCCTCATAAGAACTTTAGGTCTCACTGCACGAATACTTCAAAGTCTTCCTGGGCACACACCACAGACTGATTCTGGTGCTTTCCCTACTTTCTTGGTGTAAAGGTAAACAATTCTGTTACCTGGGGTTTGTGACAGCCTAGTTTTGTTGGAAGCTGTATTGTAGGAGAGCCTATGGCAATATGTCAGTCGCTGAACCATTTTTAATTTCTGTCAGGTCCACCACTGGAAGCGTGAAGAGAAAGTGTGTCCAGCTTTTAACTTCTTAATCCCAAGAATTAACTCTCCTTAGAAAAGGTTGCTGTGGTAGGCTTTATTAGATACAAATCAAATAACAACAAAGTTTATAAAAAAATTATATAATAAAATTGACCAAATTTTTTTTTCATTACTGATCTACACATCTTCTAGAAATAGAGAATATTGCCCAAAATTCACATGCAAATTTCCTGCCAAGCTAAGCATGGTGTTGGAGTGGATTTAGTGTTAGCATGAAATAAAGTTTAAAAAAATGAGTAAACACTGAAAAATAATTGCACAAAATCACTGTAGATTAAAAAAATTAATTCTCTTTTCTTATAATTTCAAATGAGTATTTTATTTTATTTTTCTTTACCATCACCACTCTTCTTATTCTCATCACTTTTGTTGCTATTCTCAAAGTGATATTATATACTATACACAGACTTTCTACAAGCCAGATTGAGACCACATTGGTTATTTATCTAATACCTGCCAGTGCCTAATACCACCAAGTGCTAGTGGGAAAGATAACAAAGTAAATGATGATGTGAATCCTGGCCTCAAAGAGAAGTAAACATAACAAAACCAGCTCATTAAATCACTGGAGATTAATGAAAGATAGTATTTATGCACGTACAAAAAAAACAATAAACACAGAAAGTGCCATAGGGTATAAGAAAAAGGGGAAATGAGTACTATTTTAAGATAACATAAAATTTCATTGATAGGAGGGACCTCAGAGGTCATCTGATCCAATCTTAACCTTGATCAATTAAATAAAAAAGATTATTAATGGCCCATCATGTTTAAAGTATGGTACAAAGTAATGAGGATACAAGGACAAAGAATATCAGAACCTTAAAGATGCAACTGAAAAATGAATTAAAACAATTACCTTCAACAAAATTGCAGGACAAAAACTAAATTTAAATAAATCATCAGAATTTCTGTATGTTGCCAACAAAACTCAGCAGGAAGAAATTCTCTTTAAAATGACTACAGGAAATATAAAATGCTTGGGAGTCTGTGTGTCAAGACACACAAACTATGTGAACACAAGAACAAAATCATCACACTAAGATATAAATCAATGGTAAAATAGTAAATGCTCATGATACGCTATTGTCACAAAAACGATAGTATAAGCTATATTAATTTATTTATCCAGTGTCATACTAATATACCAAAGGATTGGCATACTTTATGGAATTAGAATAAATAACAAAATTAATCTAGAGGAACCAAATGACAAGAATATTAAGGAAACTAATTAAAAGAAGTGGGAACACAGGCAGCCTACAAATTCAGTATGAGTTGGTAAAAGAATTATTTTCCAATTAAGGAAAGTAACTACTTCAAAAACAGAATTGGTCAAATGGGAGCTAATGACCCCAGGGGTTATCAAGAAATCACAAAAAAGACAAAATCCTGGGGAAAAAAAATAACAGACAATGTGAAGTATCTGATAAATAAAAAGAAAAGACCGAAAAATAAACCTGCCCAGGAAAATAGAACCAAGAATGATCATTTAAGAACCATTGATTTAAAGCATTTTTTCAAATGACTTTTATTTCTTCTTCTGAAGATTCTCTCTTCATATCCTTTGACCAATTGAGGAATGACTTGTATTCTTAGAAATTTGATTCTGTTCTTTATGTATTTGAGAAATGAGGCCTTTATCAGAGAAATTTGCTATAAAAATTCCACCCCTAACTCCCAACCCAGTTTTCTGATTCTCTTCTAATCTTGGCTGCATTGGTTTTGTTTGTGCAAAATATTTTAATTTGATGTAATCAAAATTATCCATTTTATATCCTATAATGTTCTCTATCTCTTGTTTGGCCATAAATTCTTCCCTTTTCCATAAATCTAACAGGTAAACCATTTCCCCTTATTTGTTTATGATGTTGCCTTTCATGTCTAAATTGTGTACCCATTTTGAACTTATCTTGACATATGGTGTGAGATATTGGTCTACACCGACAGCTATGATTATCAATTCCTTTCCCCCGGAGAGCTATTTTATCAGTCTCTGCAAGCTTGTGTGAGGGGCTACACCTATACGACAAACCATGGCCCTTGTGTCATGTATAAGCTAGCCCTTCCAACTCTTTTATTTTGTGTATTTTTTATATATTTTGTAACTTAATATATGCCAAGAACTTTGGTAGGTTCTGTGGGAGACATAAGAAGTATCAGATATAGTCCTCCCACAGATTGTGACAGGATCTTCACACAGAATTCCTTAATCAGGTCAGTCAGAAAACAGGAACATAAAACTTTAACTCAATAATCTCTGCTTGTAGCTTTCCCTTGGTTTAACCATGGGCCAGGTACTTAACCTCTCCAGGCCACAATTTCCTCATTTGTAAAGTGAAAATAATCTGTGGTACTTTCCACATGAAGTTGTTATAAATCTCAAATGAGAGAATATCTGTGATGTGCTTTATAAACCTATAAAAATGTTAGTTATTTTTATAATTCAGAACTAAACTGGGTTCAGGAAGCTAGATGGCAAAGTGGATAGAGTGCAGGGCCTGGAGTCAAGAAAACTCATCTTCTTGATTCAAATCTGGCCTCAGGCCCTTACTGGCAATGTAACCCTGGGCAAGTCACTTGATGTCATTTGCCTCATTTCTTCACCTAAAACTAACTGGAGAAAGAAATGGCAAACTACTTCAGTATCTTTGCCAGGAAAATGCCAAAATGTGGTCATGAAAAGTCAGATCTGATCGAAAGGACCGAAGAAGAACAATGTGGATTCAGACTCCAAGAGGTTAGAATGAATGTGCTATATCAATGAGGGTGGGTGGGGAGGGAGGAAGGGAGAAAATTCGAAACCCAAAGTTTTAAAAACACATACATTAAAAAAAATTTTCTCTTACAACTGGGAAATAAGAAATACAGGAAATGGGGTACAGAAATCTATCCTGCCCTACAGGAAAGCAGAAGGGGAAGGAGATAAGAGAAGGGGGGAGAGAAAGAAGGGAGGGCAGACTAGGGGAAGGGATATTCAGAATGCATGCCATCTTGGGGTGGGGGGAGTGGTGAGATAGGGCGAAAATTTGGAACTCAAAATCTTGTGGAAGTAAATGTTGAAAACTAAAAATAAATTAAAAAAATAGAATTAATGTGCTATAAAGACCGCAAGTTATCCACAACATTCAAAGTGCGTGATTTTCTGGTTCAATGTACTTAAAGGACCCCATGAGGGCTCTTTCCTTTGTTCTAAGACAATGAAAGTAGAAGAAGGCATGCCAATTAAAAAAAACCTGCCAAGAAACCAGAGTTACATACATATATATATATGTATAAACACCAGAATATTTTATAGTCTAAAAAAGTGACAGCTTCTCTGTTCCTTGACACTTTTTTCAATAATCATCCAAGAAAAATTTTCGAAGGGGGAATTTCCCAACTCTCCTGAGCAGACTCAACTCTTATTTGTTCTAGTGGTGAAAGGTTTGTATAAATACTAGCCTCTCCTCCATTGCCCAGTAGCACTCACAGTTGGGCCTCCTCAATGCTCTGAGAAAGAAGAAGGCACCCTAGGTGAGTGTGTTTCTTTGAGGCCCTTCTTTGCTTCCTTTTTGCTACAGAGCCTTTATCACATCTAGCTGAGAATGTTCCTGTGGGCAAGGGCTCTTTCTTCTCTTTCTTTATATGACCTCAGGGATAACAGGTACCAGACTCTAAATAAAACCTGAACAGAATGTAATCTCCTTGAGAGCAGTGAATACTTAAAATATATATATCTATATATATCTATATATATATATCTATATCTATCTATCTAGGGCCTAACACATTGCAAGATATATAATAGGCAGATAAATAATGCATTTTAAAATGATTTGGTTAATTGAACTATATGCCTGACTGACCTATGTTGGTCAGTTACAGAACTGGGAGCAAAACCTAGAAAAGATCAATGGTATCAATGCTATCCATGCTGAGGACACCCTACTGGTTTTTTCCAAATTGCTAATGGAATATTGTTAAAATTCATGGCTTCTGATGATTTGTAAAACAATTTTTGAGCTTTTAAATATTTAGTTGTTTTTAATGAAAGTACATGTAAATATCAAACCAGGAATATTACAACAGCAAAACCAAAAGGCATTTATGCATGTTGATGTGGATTCTTGAACATCTCTTTCTTGCATCCCAGTCTGAACTTCACAATGAAGCTTGTCATAAGCCTCTTCCTCCTCTCCTGTACCCTGTGTGTCAACAGTCAGCAAGAAGGGTTTAAAAAATGGTTAGAAAACACTAGTAAAGGTAAGACCATGTTAACTGCAAAGTGTTTGGTATACCTATCTATGGTTTCTGCTCGGGGTGAAATCACCTTTGATAGTGCTGCTTTGCGTAAACCTGTGAATGATAACAGGTGGGAGATTTTTTACCTAAAAACTAATGCATCTCTAAGGGAGAAGGGGCGTGTGTGTGTGTGCGTGTGCGCTGTGGAATCCTGACACTTAAGTCCTTGCCCAACAGAGGAAATAGTGTTCAACTACAGTGTTGCAACACTCTGAAAGTGGAATAGGAGACACATCTTCAGGTTGCTGTTTTTATCTTAGGTCCTTTCTGACAGAAGTGGAGTCTTATTAACAAGGCGCTAAGATGACAACATAAATTGTTTAGAGAATTCAGTGTTTAGCAGTTGGACAGGGAAGGAATCTTTATTTTATAAGGTTCACCTTGACAAGCCATTTTCACTGGGGACAAATGGTTTGGGAAATGATTTCATGACATCCATAAGGAAAAATCTTAAGCCCTGGGAGGCAGTTTCACTCCCCCAGAAGAGCCAGGCCTGTGTTATTCTGAGCCCTGCTTGTGACTCAGGATTCCTCTGTAATTGCTGTTCTGTTCCTAGGTCTTTTGCTGTTGTGCCAGCTGCACTGTAAAAGACAGGACCCAATGGAAGTCGACAATGATGAGCTAATACCAAGTATGAATTGGGGGATGTTCTTGTCAGGGGAGTGGATCTGGGCTATTTGAAGACCATCAGATGAAAGCTCATGTATAAGCTCACTGCAGTCAGTGCAGTTGGACTTTGTCCTCTTTATTTCCCAAAATGTCCATTTCAGGGTCCTGGGCACTGCCCTCTATTGTTCAGTTTAACAAAGACATCAGCAGGACTTGGTGTCTTGCTGGTACAATCATTGTATCCATTTCCTGAATGATGGAAAGTCTGGATGGGGGATTAAAAAAATTTTTTTTTGTATTTCTGAACTTAACAGACATTAACAAACATGAACACTTTCATACAGAAAGAATAAGAGGAATAGGGTTATACTTGGAACTATTACATCAAAAATTTAAACATATTCAATAAATTCAATGTTAGTTCTAAAGCTGCAGCAATTGGTGATTAGTTTTTCAAAATTCTTCACCAATGCGCTTCCCTTCCTTTCCTTCTCTCTTTCTTTCTTTTCCTTTCCTTTCTTTCTTTTCCATTTCCATTTCCCTTTTCCTTTCATCACTATCAATAATTACCTTTTTCCCAATTCTCTTCACCTACAGTTTTTAAAAAACCCTCCTTTGAAACAAATTTCTCTAGTTTCATCAGCCAAGCATATCCACACATTGGCCATGTTGAAATTGTATGCTTCGTCTTACACTACTTGTCCAATACTAGCCAATCAAGATGTAAAAAGCATAATTCATCAACTATCCTATGGAGTTGTAAATGGTCATTGCATTGATCCAAGTTTTTAAACTCTCACCAAATTATTTTTCTCTGCAATGTTGCAGCCATTTTACAAGCTATCTTCCTGTTTCTGCTAACTTCAGTGGGCATCAGTTCATTTTAGTCTTTCCATATATCTTTGAATCTGTCTCTTTAATCATTCTTATAGCACAGTAATATTTCATTGCCTTCATATATTATAATTTATTTAGCTGCTGCCTCATTAGTGAACTTCCTCTTAGTTTACAAATCTTTTCTACAAGAAAAAGTTCTGCCATGGAATCTTTGTACATAAGGATCATTTTTACTCTCTCTCTCTCTCTCTCTCTCTCTCTCTCTCTCTCTCTCTCTCATTCTCTTACCACTTAGTGATACTTGCCAGGCAGTGGTGTTGGTAGATCAAATGGTGTACATGGTTTAGTGACTTTTGGGGTATAGTTCTAAGCTGCTATCCAGCATGATGATACCAACCCATAGCCTCACCAGCAACGCACTAATATGGCTTTCTTCTCATTATACCTACCCAGTAATTGCTGTTTTCCCTTTTTGCCATCTTTGCCAGTCTGACGAAAGTGAGATCGAACCTCGGAATGATGTACATTTTGTTATCACTATTGATTTGGAACATTTTTTTCATATTTTAGTTTCAGCTTGTCTTTCTTCCCTCAAGAACTTCCTATTCATATGCTCTGACAATTCATTTATTAAGAAGTCCCTTGTTTCTGTGTGCTTGAATCAGTTCTAGATATAGGTTGTTTAGCCAATCTTTATCACAGAATTCCACTGCAAAAATTTTCTACTCAGTTAACTGCTTTTGTATTAATTTTAACTGCACTGATATTGGTTGTGCCATAGCTTTTCAATTTTCAGCAATCAAAGCAGTCTATTTGTGATCTTCACTATTAGCTAAAGAACTCATCCCATATCAATTAATATGAAATGTACTCCTTTTTCTGCTCTTTCAATTTATTCATTATGTGACCTTTTAATGTCTTGGTAACTTAGACATTTGGAGCTTATATGGTGTGATATGTTCACCTTAATCTAATTTTGTGCTAGATTGCTACTCATGTTTCCAAGCAGGTTTTTATTATTTTCCCCTCCTTTCTTTTTTTCTTCTTTTTTTTCTTTCCATGAATTTTTATTGATGCTGCATCTGAAAATTTTTTTTTTGATGCCACATTTTTCTAACATCATCATAGTTATCCAGTTACCTTCCTCTCCCCTTCCTAAGAGCCATCCTGTGGAACAAATGGTTATTTTTTAGAGAACAAAAACAGATCAGCACAACTGACCAATGCATCAAAAAAAAAGCAAACTCCAAACCATGGGCAATGTGGAACACCTGTGGACCTCCCACTGCCACCAAAGGATGGATTGGGGGTGTCCTCTCAAATCTCTTCATTCAAGTCTCATTTCGTTTTTAAGAATTTGTTACGTTGACTTCTGATCTTTGGCGCATAGTGGTTCTTTCCTTTTGCGCTGTAGTTGTGTACGTTGTCTTCTTGCCTCTGTTTACTTCATTCTTCATCTGTTCATACTGATCTTTCCATGCTTCTCTGTGTTCATCACACAGACCTTTTCTTTTCTTTTTCTTTTTTTTGGGTGAGGCAATTGGGGTTAAGTGACTTGCCCAGAGTCACATAGCTAGCGAGTGCTGTGCAGACCTTTTCTTAATGCACAGTAATAGCCCTTTACATGCATGTACCACAATATGTTTAGCCTTACCCTCATTGATAAGTATTCACTTTGTTTCCAATTCTTAGCTATCACAAAAAGCACTGCCAACCTTCCCACACCAAAGTTTCATTCTAACTCCACCTCACCCTTCCACTGTGACTTCAGCAATGGCTGTTCCATAGGCAAAAAACTGCACTTCATCTCAAATTGATTCCTCTCCCACTTTTCAATCTACTATCTCTTCCTGAAACCTGCTTTCCTCTGATGGATCAGCCTCCCTGGCAGACCCTTTCCAGTACTGGCTGTACCTTTTCTCATTCCCTCCAGCCCATTGGTAGAGGCAGGAGAGTTAGAATCTTTCTTATTCCCCATTGCCACTTCCAGGCTCTCTTCCTTCCTTCTTTACTCAGTAACCTTTCTTCCTTTGATATTCATGCTATTCATATCTAGCACCCAATCAAAATCCTGGTAGCTGTTGTCTACAGACCCCTAGGTCACTCTCCTTTCTTCCTCAATGAGTTGAATACTTGGCTAACAATTATTTTTTCATCCCTGGTTCCTGCCCTCACACTTGGGGATCACAACATACATACTGATTCTCCATCAAATGCCCTACCCATTTAGTGTGCTCACCTTCCATGAGCTACTCACTCCTCCACCACACCTGAACCCCACACTAAGATGATCATACTCTTGATCTTGTCATCACTCACAAATGTATGACTTTCATGGGAAAGAATCCTGAAATCCCCTTTTCTGACCATAATCACCTTTCCTTCTGCCTTCCCTTACATAACTCTATTCCTCCTCCTCCTCATTATCTCTGATCTCTTGACCCCTCAATCTTTTCCCAAGACATCTCCCCTGCAGTAGCACTCTCTCCTCTTCTCCTCATCCTGACTCCCTTGTGATCCTATTCAGCTCTACACCGTCCTCCTCTCTTGCATCCTCAGCAGGCTTATCATGTTAGAAACCGTGTCCAGCCAAACCTTAGCCTTGTATCATTCCCACCATTTGTTGCTTTTGTTCCTAAAAGCCTGCTGCTGAACAAAGGTGGAGAAAATCATGCAACCATTCTGAACGGGTCCATGACCAGTTTATGTGACATAACCTCAACCAGACCTTTAGTGCTGCTAGTCCATCCTACCACACCTTCCTTATCAGCTCTATAGCCAAATCTCTACAGTTGCTCTTCCAAACCTTTTCAGCCATTCTCAAACCTCTCATGGCTCCCTCTCCCTCTACTCTCGCATACTCTGGCTCATCTTTTACAGAGAAAATTGAGGCCATTCCCCATGAATTCACTCTTTTCCCTTCTTCCTTAACTTCTATCAATTCAGATGCCTTCTGTCACTACTTTTCTCCTTCACCTAGGGTCTCACTAGAGAAAGTGGCCTTACTCCTTATCAAGGCCCCCCCCACCTGTTCACATGATTCCATTCCATTCAGTCTCTTTGAATAGATCATTCCTCTCTTCCCCACTCTCACTTATTTTCAATCCTCTACTCACTCATCTCCTACTGCCTACAAAAATGCTCCTGTCTCCCCCATCCTGAATAAACTCTTATATTAGTCTTTGGATTTCTCTAATACATGTCTTCCTCTCTTCCAGTGTTGCTGAGATCTCCCACCCCAGATGATAGCAATGTCCATGTCCATGAAGAGGGTAACTCCAAAGAACATCTGTTGATGAAACCAACATCGCCCAATATACACTTAGCCTAGAAGCATCTGGAATCCCAAATTCTAAGCTGACTTTCCCTTCTTGCTCCCTCTGCCAATGCGTGCTTTTTCTGTAGTATCCCTTCCTCCCATCTCTCTGTTGTAGGTGTGCATAATTGTAGCTGCTAACATCTTAGCTGTCTAATAAACATCAGTGCAGAAACATGACCTTTCCTGAATTTCTTTGCATCCGTGTAGAAGCCAAATAATCTGTGCCTTTTTGAGCTTGAATCTGACTCCAGAATAGACATCTGAGTGACCACATTCTTGGCCTCTTAGCGACCCTGGATCTATTTTTTCAACCAGTCAGGCTTTGTCTCTGAGAGACCTCGTGCCTAGTTTCTCAGCGATACTCAGTCCCTCTCCACCCAAGAGGACTAGTTCCAAAGTAGCCCATCACAGATCTTGTGGAAACTTGAAATAATGTCATCTAGAAAGGAAAATAGGACCTGAACTGGATTTTCTAGTTAAGACCCCATTCCCATTCCACCTGCCTCAAGTTTCTTTACAAAACTCCTGTTCTACTCTCTAATGCTCCATTTCTCATGTTCAGATGTCCTCATTCCTTTTTCTCAGTTTATTCTCCCCCAAAGCTAGAATGAATGAAGGGAAATAGTGTTATTGAGCCAGAGTTGAGGGCCTAATACCTGATGCCCTAGCCTGCAAGGTCTTTAGGGAGAAGTGAGGTAAGAGAGCAAATTCATCTTCTGTGTGTGTATCTATAAAACAAGCTGCTTTTGCATTATCAGTGGAGGGGGAAGGTGTGGGTGTGGTAATAGCAGCAAACTTGTGTTTAGCCCTAGCTGTAGTTTCATCAGAGGCATTAAATTACACCACAACACCCTTTAATTTGTTTAGCGAAGGGGGCAGCTAGGTGTTGCAGTGGATAGAGCACCGGCCCTGGAGTCAGGAGGACCTGAGTTCAAATGAGGCCTCAGACATATAACACTTACTAGCTGTGTGACCCTGGGCAAGTCACTTAACCCCATTGCCTAACCAAAAAAGAAAAAAAAAAGAAATTAGCTTGTTTAGGGAAGAAGAAATGGTCTCCAGGCTTAGCCCTCATTCTTGCCCCCATTAGCTTATGACCTGGGGTCAGAGAACAGAATTCATTGGCAGCCTCAACTAAATTTGGGGAGCATGGCCCTGGGAACCAAGTCATAGAAAGCAAGGGCTAATAAAGGAATTCTGTGTCCTCTCAGGAGGCTTCATTTGTACCAAAAGCACTGAAATAACCCAGTTTGGTTTTTCCTTTTCCTTAGCCATTAACTGTCTAGCACTTCTGGTGTTGAGAAACTGGCATTAGTTATATCTTGAGCAGTCAGAAAGGGACTCTTGCAAAGGACCCCTGAACCCCAGTTAGATTAACAAAGGCGAGTATCAGGTCTGTGACTATCCTCTGAACTACATGTCCCCTTCGGTCAGGGACTTCTGAAAAGCAATTGAAAGTCTAAGAAAGGACAGTTTTGGAGACCGTTTATTTAAAGAGCAGAGATAGGAAATTACACTAAAAGATTTAAACCTAGATCACATTTATGAATTTTTAAAACATATATAATGGGAGCCCAAAATAGCAAAAACAGCATGCCAAATGTGACTCCCTTAGAAAAACTCCTTATGGGGGCAGCGAGGTGTCACAGTGAATAGAGCTCTGGCCTTGGAGTCAGGAGGACCTGAGTTCAAATCCAGCCGCAGACACTTAACACTTACTAACTGTGTGATTTTGGGCAAGTCACTTAACCCCAATAGCCTCACCAAGAAAAGAAAAAGAAAAACACCTTACAGCATGGGATAAAGGAGGCCTATCCATGGAGCCAGGGATGACAAAAAAGCAAGAGATTAAGTTCTGTGATATTTAACAAGAACTACTTCAGCTGGGGAATCATTGTGGCCCAAGACGGCTCTTTTAGTTTTCAGAAATTGAAAGATTTAAGGCAAGTGATAGCAGACAAGAGCCATGAGCAGCTGGATTACTGGTACCTCTGGAGTAGGTTGATGGATCCAACCACTAAAATCCAGCCATCTCTTGGCATCAGCTCAATCTCCCCCCCAAGTTCCTTCTCTGCTCCCTTGCCTTGCTTTCTCTCACTCCTTCAACCCCACCTGCCTCTTTGATCTAGCTTCCAGTTTTCCAGCCTGCCTTAACCCCTTCCTCTCTGGTTCCTCTACTTCTCTTGGCTTCTTCTCCCTTACCTAATTACCCTGACTTACCAGCTTCTTCTGTGAAACCCTCTGCTGATAACTTGCTCTCCTGTTCAGGAGCCACTTGGGAAATTGCAGCTCAAAGAATCCCAAGTGGACAGCTCTGAGATTCCAGAGCTGCCTATATGGGCTGGCTGCAGCTCCTTCACTTTCTCCTTCTTCCTCTCCTCCCCAAGTCTCTGCCTTCTTACTGCCCCTCTGTCTCCACTGAGAGACTGAATTCTCTCAAGGCAAAAGAAAAACCTGAAGGCATTTTTCCTCTATAAGAGGTTGCCACCCATGATCGCAGAGGGTATGCAGTGTTACTCAGACAGCATGTTCCATTCAGCTCCACTGATCGTTGTACTTGGAGAAGAAACACTCCTAAGTTTGATGAGGATCCAGCAGCTGTGGTCACTCAATTTCAAGCAATTTTTAGAGGTTTCATGGGGAGATGTTATGGATCTAAAACAAATTCACTTTCCTTTGGGAAATGACAAGCTATTATAGATGCAATGAAAAGGCTAGTTTTGCAGGTAGGTCAGCCTAGCTTTGGCCTGTAGAGGATCCTAATTGGAATCCAAAAGATCTTGAAGATTACATCAAATTAAAAAAGGCTAGAGAAAACTTACTTAGAAGAATGAAAGAGTGTTTGGTTAGACTGGAGAACTGGGATAGATTTAAAGGAATTTTGCTCAAAGAAAGAAAATCTTTTTAAAAATTTTATTTGTAATTTATGGAATACAGCAAGCATTTCCATAACATCGTACAATAAAAAAGATGATTACACCAAATCTACTGTGCATACAACTTGCTATTCCTTTCAAGTATACAACAAAATTGTCACATAAATTTCTTGTTTTTCTTCCCTCCCCTTGACATCCCCCCACTACCGCCTTAAGAGACAGCTACATTTAGACACAAATAGACATACACACACACACACACACACACACACTTATTCTATATACACTTCTATTTCTGAATTCTTTCTCTGGATGCAAATAGTGCCTTCTTCATATGTCCTTTATAGTTAATTTGGGTATTTATAATAGTCAAAATAACTTATTTGATCAAAGTTATTCTTAAAAGAATATTGCTGTTACTGTATACAATGTTCTCTTTGCTCTGCTCATGCTGCTATTCATTATTTCATGAATGTCATTCCATGTTTTTCTAAAATCATTGAGCTCATCATTTCTTATAGCAGACTAGTATTCCATCATCATTATATACCACAACTTGTTCAACCATTCCCCAATTGATGGGCATCCCTGTAATTTCAGTTCTTTGCCACCACAAAGAGGGCTGCTATCAACATTTTAGAACATTTAGCTTTTTTTCCTTTTACTCTAATTATCTTCAGACATAGCACAAGTAGTGGTACTGCTGGGTCAAACGGTATAGGTAGTTGAATCCTCACTGGGCATATTTCCAGATTGCTCTCCAAAATGGTTGAGTCAGTTCACAATTCCACTAACAATGAATTAGTGTCCCAGTTTTTCCATATCCCTCCCAACATTTGTCACTTTCCCCTTCTTTCATTTTAGCCAATCTGGTAGGTGTAAAATAATATCTCAAGGCTGCATTAATTTGCATTTCTCTAATCCAAGAGTGGGGAATCTGCACTTCAAGGACACATGTGGCCCTCTAGGTCCTTTCAGTCAAAGGGTTGCACTCAAGGACCTAGAGGGCCATAATATATGTCCTCCAGGTTGCAGATTCCTCACCCCTGCTTTAATCAATAATGGTTGAGAACATTTTTATATGATTATAAATTATTTTGATTTCTTCATTGGAAAACTGCCTGTTCATAATCCTTTGACCATTTCTTAGTTGGGAAATAACTTGTATTCTTATAGATTTGACAAAGTTCTTTACATATTTTAGATGAGACTTTTATCTGATAAACTGTCTATAGAAAATTTCCCCCAATTTTCTGCTTTCCTTTTGATCTTGGCTATATTTTATTTATACAAAACCTTTTAAATTTAATGTAATCAAAATTAACCATTTTATGCTGAACTTTGCTCTCTGTCTCTTGTATATTCATAAATTGTTTGCCTATCCATAAGTCTGATAAGCTATATGTTCCACATTCTTCTAATTTTCTTGTAAAATCTCTCTTTACATCTAGGTCATTTTGATCTTATCTTGGTAAATGGTTTATGATATTGGCCTGTGGCCACTTTCTGCCATACTGCTTTTCAGTTTTCCCAACAATTTTGTTTTTTACCAAATAATAAATTCTTATACCAAAATCTTAAATCTTTATATTTGTCAAATACAAGATTATTATATTTGTTGCTGTAAATTACATGTCTGTTCCATTAATCTACCTTTCTATTTCTTAGCCAATACCAGATAGTTTTGATAATTTTACTGGCTTATAAGACAGTTTAAGATCTGGTACTATTAATTCTCCTTTCTTTACACTTTTATTCATTATTTTCTGTAATATTCTTGACTTTTTGTTTTTCCTATGAATTTTATTATTTTTTTCTAATTCACATTCAAAGTTATAATTACTATTTATGAATTTCCCTCCATCTTAATTTAGTCACTATTTTCCTTCTCAAGCTCTCTTTTCACTCTAACCCATTACCTTATCTTCTCTCCTTGGTCCCTTCATTGGAGTTTGGGGTAGCCTGGCTCAGGAAGGAGAAATAAAGACAGAGAGACCCTGACCTGGGAGGGTATCACTGCCTGAACTGATGGAGGCTGCTATACCTCACTGACCAGGCCATTCTCCTCAGATGACTCCCCCTCCCCAATGATGAAGTAATGGTGACTGACTAAGGACTCTGGGTCCACCCCCCTTACATGAATGTCTACCAGTCAGGGTTGCTTTTCACTTGTCACGGGAGCCAGAGACTCCTTTTTGTCTCTGATCACCAAGAGACCACTGACCATTCATTTTGTGATTATTAGATGGCCTAGTTAATATGTTGATTTTTAACACCCAGAGCTATGTCTCTCAGAATTTTATTCACAACAGTGCCTAGGTTTCAATCCTAATAGACTGAGTGGATGGTATTGTCCTCCACAGTAATAGGGAAGATGCCAGGGGTTGGGTGGGTGGGTGGGGTTTAAGGAGTAAGATAATGAGTTCAGTTTTGGACATGGTGAATTTAATGGCATCAAGTTCAAGATTCTGAAAGGGATCTGGAAATGTGAAATTGTACATCAGCAAAGAGGTTACAGAGATATGAGAATCACCAATGTAGGGATGATCATTAAATCCATGAAGCTGATGAGATCACCAAGTGGAGCCGTATCAAGAGGGTGAAGGATATGGTGAATGCAATTCAAGTTCCCTTGTGAGTTATTAGCTTCTAGATCCCATTATGGGTAAAATCTGTGTTTGAGTAAAAAAGACACTGTGTAGACTGAGCAAACAGAAAATTGGGTTCCTGCTTGCTTCCAACAGAGTAGGATGATCCAAATCATACAAGCAGGACCACAATGTCTGTCCACAAAATCTGAAAAATCCACACATTCCTAAATGTTCTTTATTTTCAAGCAAAAAGTTAACAGTTCCATTTTAATTTCCCAGTACTCCTTAATGCTAGTGCCTTCTCTCTGTTGATTATTTCCACTTTATCCTGTAACATATCTTGTTTGTACAGAGATGTTTAGATGTTGTCTCCGCCATTAGACTGTGATTAAGCTCACTGAGGGCAGGAAATGTTTTCTGCATTTCTTTGTATCCCTGGTGCTTATGGCCTATAGTAGATGCTTAATAAATGTTTGATGACTCACATTTCCTGTTTAACAAGAGTAGATTACTCAGTGAAATTCTTGCCTTCTAAATTATAATCCTATTAATATTTTATATTCTGGAATTTGGAAAAAGAGAAGCAAATGTCAGTGACTTTGTCAGGTAATTCTAGAAAGAGAGGAAGATCTTTAAACCCTCAAACTAATTATACAAAAGACCAAGACTTCCCCAATCCTAGGACATAAACTTGCTGGAATAGGGGTCTGAAGCCCTTGATACACCTAGGGGAGTTCCTGGGCTTGTTTTGCTTGGCCTCAAAAGATAAGGCTAAGGACAATATGAAGAAGCTGTAAGAGAGGCTGATTCCAATATAAGAAAGAGCTGCCCAACCAAAAAGCTATCCAAGATATAAAATGCAGAATAAAAACAGGAAATTATATAAGGCATCAAAAAGGGCAAGATCAGTACTGCCTTAATATAACATAGAATTTCAGAAGTGGAAGGGAAACTCAGAGGTCTTCTAATCCAAATCTAAAGCATAATCAATCAATGAATTGATATTCATTAAGCACTTACTATCTTCCAGGCAAAAACAAAACAAAACCAAAAAAACAAAAGAAAAGAAAAAATGGAACAGAAACACCACAGAACAAACTAATAAAATCAATTGACTTTCAGTAAAACCGCAAGATGTAAAATAAACCCACGCAAATCATCAGAGTGTCTGCACATTCCCAATAAAACCCAGCAAGCAGTGGCAGTAGCAGTGGTACCGTGGAAGACAGGACTGGAAATCTCAAGATCCTGGTTGGTTCAAGCATAGTTCTGCTACTAATTATATAACCTTAGGCATGCAGTACAGCAGAAAGAACAATGCATTTAGAGTAAGATGACCTGGATTCAAATCTTGGCTTTGTTACTTGCTAACTGGGCGATCTTATTCTCTGTGACTCAGTTTCCTTATCTGTTAAGCAAGGCTGGTGGACTAGATGACCTCTAGGTTTTTTTTTTAAGCTCTAATTCTATGTAATCTTATTATCCAAAGTCACTTCTCCTTCCATTGTCTCAGCTTCCTCATCTGTAATATGAGAGGGTTGGCCTGAATCAGGAGTTCTTAACCTTTTTAGTGTCATGGAACCTTTTGGCAATCTTGTGTAACTTATGAATAATGTTTCTTAGAATAATATATTTAAATGAACAAGGGAAATCAATTATATTGAAATAAAAATGAGATTTTTTTTTCTTTCCACCCAAGTTCATAGATCCCCTGAAATGTGCCCACAGATCCCTAGAGGTTCCATGAATGCCATGTTAAGAACCCTGGACCAGATGCTCTCAAAGGTCATGTCTTGCTCCCAGATTCTCTGATTAAAAGTAGGAGATTCTGCCGTGTTCACTTGGCCACTGCTTTGTACTGACTCCTAAGTTTTAGAAACATTTTCATAAAGGGTTGAAACATGAAGAGTGTTCTGGGTAGGCCTCAACCTAAAGAATCAACTAATCTGAGAAATTCACAGAATGATAAGCATTTCTACCGATCAGGGTTTTTTTTCCCCTACCATATTGCTTATATTAAAGGACCTAACTGGTGAATGAAAGCATAGGCTACCAAATATAGACTCTAACTAACAGTTGGCTAAAATTGGAAACAAAATGAGGAAAAGAAGATGCCAAACAGCTGGGCAGACAGAGAACTTGCAGGCTGACTTTCCCCACCCATTATGAATCCAACAAATTATTGTCACTAGATTGCAACATCAAGTGCAATTTAGAATTCAGGACTCTCTGAATACATGCTATGCCCTCAGCACTTAATTTCTTCTGCTTTGAGTTTCCTTTAAACAGAAAAATGGTGTTTTTAAATACATTACTTTTTTTTTTATTTTGGCCCTGACCTAAGATTTCATTGGTAGGGAACTTCCTGTGACAATAATCTCTCCATTAATGCAGGTCTGCAGCTTATGGTCTTAAAGAGTTGCTTGGAGCACTGAAGTTAAATGACTTGCCCAGGGTCACACAGCCAGCATGTATCAAGAGACAAGATTTGAACTGAAGTCTTTCCGATTCCAAGGCCAGCTCTCTATTCATAGTGCCACAATGCTTCTCATATACATCATCATCATCATCATCATCATCATCATCATAAATGCCTAAAAATTAGGCATACTTCATGCTTGTGAGAAAACATTTTAAGCATTTTGTAAATGATCCATGTACAGCTATATTGATTCAAAAGCAACCCTACCCGCAATAATCCCATCCATCTGCTCCAGGGCAGCCTCCAGCATGTGACTGGCATCTGACGCCATGGCTGCTTTTCAGCTTACTTAGTTTCTTCCTCTTATTTCTGAAAAACAGAGCATTGAATAAAGGTATGATTGGCATAAAACTCCAAAGCCCGCTTGGATGAATTCACATTTTGGGCCTTTAACATCATTGTGAATGAGCAATCACTTAGGCAACAAGCATTTATTAAATGTCTACTGTGTACTAGGCACTGTACTAATCCCCAAGAATTAAAAAAAAAAGACATAAATTAAACAGTTTCTGCTCTCTTTATCTTCTATTAGGGGAGATATGTAAATATAAGTGTGTGTGTGCATATATACACACACACACAAATACATACATACTTATATATGTATGTGTGTATGTATGTATGTATGTATATATATATACATATAATCAGATACTCTTTTGCCTGGCATTTTTATCTGCCACATTGCTGGGAGAATTGCACTGAAATTTCTATGAAGACTGTAAATAAAAGTAAATGTCATTGGTAGGCACAGTTAATGAACTTGAGAGTCAGAAAGACCTGGATTCAAATTCCATCTTTGATCCTTAGAAAGTAGCTAAATGGTACAATGAATAGAATGCTGGAGTTGGAATCAGGAAGACCTGAATTCAAATTCTATCTCAGACACTTATTAGCTGTGTGACCCTGGGCAAGTCACTTCGTCTCTCTCCCCCTCAGTTTCCTCATCTTTATAATGGCGATAATAATAGCACCTACACCACTGAGCTGTTATGAGGCTCAAATGGGCTAACATATGTAAAGTGCTTTACAAACCTAAAAGCACTATATAAATAGCTATTATTATTTATATATATGATATACATATAACATACATACATATATATACACACACATATATGTATATATATACACACACATCTATATACGTATACACACACACACACACACACACACACACACATATATATATACAAATATATATATAAATACTTTGCAAACCTTAAGATGCTGTATTAGTCATGGTGGTTACTCATGATATCTATGATAATCATTATCATAGACTTAAAGCATTAGAAGCCATTCAGTTTGATACTCTCATTTTAAGATGAGGAAACAGGCTCAGACAGGCCAAGTAACTTGTCCAAGGTCATTCAGGTAGTGAGAGGAGGGGTTTGAATCCAGATCCTCTGACTTCTCATTGAGTGCACTTTCTACGGTACGACAACCTTGTGATCATAACCGAGTCTCTGAGCCTCAGTTTTCTTATGTCCATAAAGTAGCGATAATAACAATAGTAATAGTAGCAGTGGACTATAGTGTTTTAAGCCTGGCAAAGTAAGATAGAGTATTTCATTTGATCTTTGTGATCCTGTGAGGGAGGTGCTATTTTTGTCTCCATTCTGTAGTTGGAGAAATTGAGGCTAAGAGAGGTTAAAATGACTCACCCCACAGCTAGTAATAATTTGAGGTGGATTTGAACCTACGTCTTCCTGACTCAAGTCCAGCACTCCATCCACAACACCTATAATACCTATTTTGTTGTTGTTCATTCATTTCAGTCATGTCTGACTCTTTGTAATTCCATTTGGAACTTCCTTGGCAAAGATACTGGAATGTTTACTATTTCCTTTTCCAGCTCATTTTACAGATAAGCAACCTGAGGCAAACAGGGTTAGGTGATTTACCCAGGGTCTCACAGATAGTAAGTGTCCGAGGCCAGATCTGAACTCGGGAAGATGAGTCTTCCTGACTCCAGGCCTTGTGCTCTATCCACTGTACCACCCACTTGCCTCAAATAGATTAGCTTTCCTCAATTTATAGCATTCCTTTATTTTACCATATCTGGCCTTAAAGAGTTGGGAAAAAAGGAAAGATGTTTTCTTGTATATTGTTTAGATATTATTGCTTTACTTTAGATTTTATTGATATGTTTCATTGTTTTTATACAACAGGCATTTCCCAACAAGCACCCAATCACGCCCATCCACTCCTGCACATTTCCTGAAAACAGTGAAAACCACCAAATATTGTAGCCATCTTCTACTTTTTTAACATTTAAAAGAAGACTGCGTCTTTTAACTTTGATAGTCCAGGACATCTTTTCTTATATTTGGTTGAGCTTTGCCGATTTTTAGTGCAGTTGTGTTTGACCCTTTTGTAGTCAGTGTAGACTAATCTTTTGGCTTTGTTTTCTTCATTCTGCATCATTTTCTACAACTCTTCTCACATTTCTTGCAGTTTTTACTATCCATTATTCCTTGTGTCTAGAATTTTCCATAATGATGTGACATTTATCATGTGCTTTAAGGTTTGCAAAGGTTTACAATCGTTCATTTGACTTTCCCAACAAAACCAAGATCTCAGAGAATGACAGAACCATGTACTAGGACCTGGTTAGACCTACAACTAATAAGAAACACCCTCTGCAATATCTCCAACAAATGAATATCCAGTCTCAGCTGAAGACTTCTAGGAAAGTCACTAGCTCTGGAAGCATCTCATTCTACTTTTGGATGGTTCTACCCAGGGTCACACAGCTAGTAAGTGTCTGAGGCCAGGTTTGAACTTAGGAAGATTAGTCTTCCTGACACCAGGCCTAGTGCTCTATCCACTGTACCACTTAGCTGCCCTAATTATCCACAAACTCACTTTTTACTAGGTGTTCTGTGGAATCTCTTTGGATAGTAATTGGTGCCTGTGCAATATCCTCTGTCCTGTAAAAAGTCCCTCCATATTTTCACCACCAGAAAATCAATGAAAGTTTAAATTGCATATCAATGATATCTTCTACCAAAGTCCTCTTCTGATGCATAGAACAAATGCACTTTGAAAGTCCTCCTGAACCTTAAAAAATAGCCTAACCCAAATGGCAGAAGAGGTCCAAAAAGCCAATGAGGAGAAGAATGCCCTAAAAAGAAAAATTGGCCAAATGGAAAAGGAAGTCCAAAAGATTACTAAAGAAAGTACTTCCTTAAAAATTAGAGTAGAGCAACTGGAAGCTAGTGACTTGATGAGAATTCAACACACTATAAAACAAATCCAAAAGAATGAAAAAATAGAAGATAATGTGAAATATCTCATTGGAAAAACAACTGACCTAGAAAATAGATCCAGGAGAGAGAATTTAAAAATTATTGGACTGTCTGAAAGCCATGATCAGAAAAAGAGCCTAGACATCATCTTTCAAGAAATTATCAAGGAAAACTGCCCTGATATTTTAGAACCAGAGGGCAAAATAGAAATTGAAAGAATCTACCGATCTCCTCCTGAAAGGAAAACTCCCAGGAATATTGTAGCCAAGTTCCAGAGTTCCCAGGTCAAGGAGAAAATCTTACAAGCTGCCAGAAAGAAACAATCCAAGTATTGTGGAAACACAATCAGGATAACCCAAGATTTAGCAGCTTCTACATTAAAGGACTGTAGGGCATGGAATGTAATGTTCCAGAGGGCAAAGGAAATAGGATTACAACCAAGAATCACCTACCCAGCAAAACTAAGTATAATCCTTCAGGGGAAAAAATGGCCATTCAGTGAAATAGAGGACTTTCAAGCATTCTAGACCATAACTGAATAGAAAATTTGACTTTCAAATACAAGACTTAAGTGGAACATGAAGAGGTAAACAGGAAAGAGAAATCATAAGAAACTCATTAAGGTTGAACTGTTTACATTCCTGCATGGAAAGATGATATTTATAACTCATGAGACCTTTTTCAGTATTAGCGTAGTTGGAGGGAAAAAATTATATGTGTATATATATATATATATATATATATATATATACACACATACATATATATATATATATATATATATATACATATATATGTATATATAGATAGATAGATAGAGGGCACAGGGTGAGTTGAAGATGAAGGGGTGGTATCTGGAGAATAAAAATAAGGGGTAAGAGGATTATACTGGGAGAAGTAGAAAGAGAGAGGTAGAATGGGGTAATTATCTCACAAAAAACAGAAAAGGAAAAGTTCTTACAGTGGAGGGGAAACAGGGGAAGGTGAGAGGAAATGAGTGAAATCTTATTCTCATAGGATTTGGCTTAAGAAGGGAATAACATACACATTCAATTGGGCATGGAAATCTGTCTTAGCCTACAGGAAAATAGGGGGAGAAGGGAACAAGAGAGTAGGGGGATGATAGAGAGGAGGGCAGATTAGGAAAGGGGGTAATCAGAAGCAAATACTTCTGAGAAGGGACAGGGTCAAAAGAAAGAATAGAATAAATGGGGGAGCAGGATAGGATTAAGGGAAATAGAGTTAGTTTTTCACAATACGTCTACTATGGAAGTGAATGGGATGTCCTAGTGAAGACTTCTCAGTGTAATTAAGGTAATGAGTTCAGAAGGTAGTGTGAGAAATGAACTCTTAGAAGTGAAGGCTCCTCAAAGGGTCAAATAATTCTTGATTACGACTTTCAAAATCCTCCCCCACCCAGACCCTGTTTTTAAGCACTTAACAGCAAGAATAAGTCCTGCCCCACCCCCCAACCTGAGCTGTTTGTCCTTGGCTTTGAATTTCGTACCTGGAATGTAAGCCCCACCTCCCAGTTAAGGGGATAGGAAGAAACTTTCAAGCTTAGAATGTAAGCCCACCCCCAGTTAAGGGGGTAAGGGATAGTGGTGGGTGGAGACTAGTTTTCATGGTGGGCAGAGATTTGCTTTTATAAGGTGGCCCCTGTTAGGCGGTCTCTCTCTCTCTCTCCATGTGTATTGGAGGAGCAGATAGCCATCTCATGAGATTGTAATAAAGGTAACCTTTGCTTTCCACCTTGAGAAGTCTCTGAGCTTAATTTGGGTTGGGGTCGCTATCCCACACAGAAGTGTTTTGCATAACTGCACATGTATAACCTATATTGAGTTTCTTGCCTTTTCAATGAGGGTGGGTGGGGAGGGAGGGAGAAAATTTGGAACCCAAAGTTTTAAAAATACATGTTTAAAAAAATGTTTTCACATGCAACTGGGAAATAAGAAATACAGGAAATGGGGTACAGAAGTCTATCCTGCCCTACAGGAAAAGAGAAGGGGAAGGGGATAAGAGAAGGTGGGGAGAGACAGAAGAGAGGGCAGACTA